TTATTTTTTAAACTTATAAATCATGTTTAGCCTATTACAATTGTCTCAATTTTCCCCCCTTATCCCCCTCTGACCATCCCACCCCACCCCCCACTCCCACAGTCAATTCCCACTCTGTTGTCCATGTCCATGGGTCATTCATACATGTTCTTTGTCTAGTTCCTTCCCCTTTTTTCCATCATTGTCCTCTTTCCCCATCCCCTCTCATCACTTTCAGTCTGCTCCATGTTTCCTTGCCCGTGGTTTATTTTGTTTGCTAGTTTATTTTGTTGAATAGAGTCCACTTATAGGTGAGATCATATGGTATTTGTCTTTCATCAACTTGCTTATTTCACTTAGCTTAAAATTCTCCAGTTCCATCCATGTTGTTGCAAAAGGTAGGAATTCCATCTCTCTTTCTTTCTTTCTTTCATTCATTCTTTCTTTCTTAAATGCAGATTGATTTTATTTTTTTAAATGTCAAAGTTAATTATAAAATATTTAAAAAAATTTAAAACCATTATAAAGTCTCAGCAATTAAACCAACATGACATCAGCATAGAAATAATCAATTAGGTCAATGAAATATAATGAGCATTCTAGAGACAAATGTATATATCTGTCTAACAATATAATATATGATTTAAGTTGATATTTCAAATCAATAGGGAAAATAAGGCTTATTCAATAAATAAGTTGCATGGACCACTATTACTTGAAATAAAACAAATATAGAGCCCTATTTTACACATTATACAAGAAATATTCAGGTGAGTTAAAAATCAATATGTAGAATCCAAGGAGTTTTAGAAGAAAATAGAACTAATATTTTTCATGACCTGAAGTAAAATATTCAACCCCAGAAGCTATAAATGCTGATAATATGACTATATTAAACATTTAAGATTATATAGTAATATACATATAAAAAAGTTAAAGGACAAAGAATAGAATAGAAAAGTATTTACAACACATCTGAAAAAGGGTTAACAGGGTTTTTTTTGTTTGTTTGTTTGTTTTAGGGAAAAAAGTTCAACAAACCTTTAATTGATAAATGGATAAAGAATACCAAAAAATCATTTAAAGCTTTTTAAAAAAATAATAGAAATAGGCAAGAAATACACAAAAACAGGTTTAGTTTCAACAAATAGTAAAAAACAATTAAAATAACATCATTGACACAATCAGATTAATGAGTATTAAAAATACTGGTAATATCAAGTATTGGCAACTCTGAAAGGAACTAGGTATTCATAGAAACTTTTTCTTCATCTTAAAGCAGTCCCTTTAGCATATTTTGCAATGCTGGTTTGGTGGAGGTGTATTCTTTTAGCCTACTTTTGTCTGGGAACTCATTTCACCTTCCATTTTAATTGAGAGCCTTGCTTGGTAGAGCAGTCTTGGTTGCAGGCCTTTGCTTTTCATGACTTAAAATATTTCTTGCCATTCCCTTCTGGCTTGCAGTGTTTCTGTTGAGAAGTCAGCTGCTAGCCATATTGGGGTTCCCTTAGATGTTACTACCTCTTTCTCCCTTGCTTCCTTTAGGATTCTCTGTTTCTCTTTGATATTTGCCATTTTAATTATGATGTAGCTTGGAGTGGGCCTCATTGGGTTCCTCTTGAATGGGACCCTCTGTGCTTCCTGGACTTGTCTGACTTTTTCTCTCCTCCAATTAGGAAAGTTTTCCATCATTACTTTTTCAAACAGGTTCTCTATCCCTTCCTCATCCTCCTCTCGTTCTGGTATCTCTATGATATGGATATTATTATGTTTCAGGTTGTCCTGCATTTCCCTCAATGCCTCTTCATTCTTTTTTAGTCTTTTTTCATTTTCTTGCTCTTTCTGGAACCTTTTTTCTACCTTGTCCTTCAGCTCGCTGATTCAGGCAAGCCACTTTGCTGTGACTCTGTCTGTGAGGGAGGGGTCAGAGAGGGAACAATGCTGTTTGCTTGGCTCTTGCCTTGCTTTTAGTCACTTCTCTCACTTCCCACAAGTGGATTGTGCTCTTTCAGGATTCCTGGGTGGGTTGGCTTGTGTAGGTTCTAGGACCCCTGTGGACCCCTTTAATGGACTCTCTTGTGTGGGCCTCATTGCAGACCCTCTCAATTGCAATGTCTCAGTTCCCATCAACACCAGCACGACTTTCATCAGGCAGGCTCTCCCTAAGCTGAAAGTGATTGACGCCTCTGGAAGACCAGGCGGAAGATGGTTTGTTCAAAATAAACTGGCAGTGTGGCTAGAGATGTTTTAGCAAGAGAGCTTTTGATTTCTGGAAATTGAAATCCTTTTTAAGAAACCCATGTGAACAGAGAGTTTATCATAGAATGCAAAGAAATCCTATGGAAACACACTTTCAGAAAAGACCACAGGGCCTCCTAAGAACTGGAAAATCACTGGAAGATTTTATTTATTTATTTTTAGAGAAAGGGAAAGGGAGGGAGAAAGAGAGGAAGAGAAACATTAATGTGAGAGAGAAGCATCCATCAGTTGCCTTCTGTACGTGCTCCAAGTGGGGAGCAAACCTGCAAGCTAGGCATGTGCCCTGACTGGGGATCAAACCTGCAACCTTTCTGTGTATGGGATGACACTCCAACCACTAACCCACACTGGCTAGAGCATCTGTGGCAAATTTTTAAAGTTGGAACATTGATGATTATTAAACAGTGTGTATACATTTTTATACATTATAATTGATCCTTTCCTAAACTTATGACATACCATTCCCAGTTTGTTGTTTACTTTAAAATTTTTTTATATAATGGCTTTCTCTCCATTTTTATTTTGTGATTCCTTCTGTTGATTTTATCTTTAGAAAGAACAGAGAAAGACTGGGTATTTCTACTGCCACTGCAACCCCCACAGGTTTTTACAGCCAGAGATTTTGAGGCTTTAGGTTCTTGCTCTGGAACCCTGGGTTATGCAATCTGTCTTGCTTTTGAGTTTTTCCTCCCAGCTTATGTGCACTGAAATGTGGGCTAGCTCAGCCCACCAACTGCCACCTCACTTGCCCTAGTCTGCCAGCTGCCTCCCCAACTGCCCCTCTCTGCCCCTCCTACCTGTCTGTATGAATGTTTCTTTAACTCCTTGGCTGTTGGACTTCCATACAGTTTGATTTTCTGGCAGTTTTTTTTTTTTAATTTGTTGTCTTTCTTTTGGTTGTGAGGAAGCAAAGTGTATCTACCTACACCTCCATCTTGGCGGGAAGTGTTCAGAAAAAGTTCTTTCTTATATCATTAGATCATCCGATTATTATCAAAAGATATAACTTGGGAACAGCCAGATGGAAGAGATGCAGAGGGCTAGGTGTGGGAAAAGGGCATGGAGCTTCTATGTCCCTTGTACCACTCTCTCAGAACCTCCACGTGTTCATCAGCTCAGAAGCTCAAGTGCTTGGACTTAACAAAAAAAAGTTATTTATTTTTAGAGAGAAGGGAAGGGAGAAAAAGAGGGAGAATGTTTCACACATTGTCTCACATGTGTCTCACACATTGTTGTGTGAGAGAAACATTGATTGGTTGCCTCTCACACACCCCCAGCCCAGGATCTGGTCTGCAACTCAGGCATGTACCATGACTGGGAATTGAACTGGTCAACTCTTGGTTTGTAGAGTGATGCCCAATCCACTGAGCAACACCAGTCAGGGCCAAAATTGCTTGGACTTTTGAAAAGGAGAATAAATATTAACAGTAGAATGCTGAGAAAGAGTTTGGTTAATATTAAATTGTTAGTATTACTTTGGATAGAGAGTAAACGTACTTTAGAAAAGCCCTTTTGATTTGTCTGTCTAATATAGTTTAATATGTCTCATTTTTAATTTTGTACCAAAAATAGTCATAAGAAAGAAGAGAGTCATCTATACTCTTGCAGGACCCAAAAGAACAGAGAAAGGAATTATTTAAAAGATGAGATAAGGTCTTTGAGAAAATCTCTTTGGAGGGAGGTATATTAAAGATCTGTTAATTATGCCCCTAAAGCCTCGTTAGAAAAGAACCAGTTTACATATATAATAACTAAGCCACTAAATAAACATATTCTATAATGAAAGTGTAGTAAAAGAAGGAAGAGCATGTAGCGTTAAGTACAGATACAGTAGATTCCTAGGGTTGTCTTCACAAAGTATCAATGGAAATTTATGCTCTCACAGATCTGAAAGTTACTTTTATTTTTTTTTAACTTTATACAATTACATATAATTTCAATGCATCCATTGTACATTTTTTTGTTTGTTTGCTTTTTTAATTTTTATTTTTTCCATTTTCCAATGAGTGGTGTGTTGGTGTCTGTGACACAGAATGGAGGAGAAACTGGAACTGCAATGAACGCAGACATTTTTTATTTTCATTTCCACTGACCAATAAACAGAACTACAGGTGCACCCAACCACGGACATGCATTAACTTGTCATGAGAAATCTAGGGAGGCTAAGTCGGATGAGAATGTTTGCTACTCCCAAAAATACCTGGGGAGGAAGAATGGAGTATTGGCATGGAGATACATGTGGACAGGCTACGTGGGCTGTCTGAAAGTTGGCATTCATCCACAAACATTAAAAAATATCAAAATAAGAAAGGCTGCAAATTAAAAAGAAAACACAGAAAATACTGCTTTCATAAAGATCTGATTGCCTTAGAACGGGCCCCGTAGGCAGAATCAAACGCATCACTCCCAACTCCCCTTGCAGAAGAGCTCGGATCTTAGTGGCGGAGTGCAGGTAACAGCAGTTCAGGTACAAAAGGTAGGTACTGTACTTTCAGACATTGAACTTTAAAATCCAGGATTGATTGATTGGTAAAGTTGACTGAAGGTATATTAGATATTTTCCCACAAAAATACTATTTGGATTCTCCCCACCCCCTCCCTCCCTTGATGGGACATCTTTTTTTTTTTTTTTTTCCTTTCCTTGGGCAATAGATATCATTTCTTCCAATTTGAAACAAGTTAGTATAGGAGAGAGACAGACAAGAGAGAGAGAGAAACGGGTTGTTTTTAAGCTGTACTTTCTTTTTCATAGGCTGTCCTTGTTATTCCTTTACTGCTACGGTTTGATCGGAATTAGCTGCTGGGGCCTCGGCAGTTTTAACCTCGTCTGCTGGGGCTGCAGGGGCCTGGGCCTTGGGTGTGGAACTGGGGGCTTCCGTGCCTGCTGGGGTCTCCTTGGACAATGGGGCAGCCTCAGTGCTGCTGGGTTTTGAGTCTGAATCTGGGGCCCCGTCACTTTTCGTTTCCTGTGAGGCAGGAGCTGCGGGAGCCTCAGTCTTTGTGGGTTCCCCTCCCTCCTTGCTCTTGTCATCCACCTTGGTGGCCGCCGCGGGTTCCGCAGGGGCCTCGGCCTCCGAAGCCTTGGGAGCATCACCTGTGGCAGGGCCTGAGGTGGCTGCCTGCTCCGCATCCTTCGGGGGCTCCGGCTTCCCCTCGGCCGCTCCTTCCGTCTGCTCAGGCTCTGCCTTCGGAGCATCTGCCTTGGCCGCGTCTGTGTCTTTCCCACCTTCCTTGTCTTCAGGTTTGTTGGCGGCTTCCTGGGCATCCTTCCCCGGCTTCTCCTCCTTGCCCTCCTTCACTTCCGTGGTCGGCCCAGCGGCCTGGGTCTCATTCTCCTTCGGGGTTCCCTCCTCTTCCGTCCCTGCTCCTTCGGCCTTCTTGTCTTTGTCCTTGGCCTTCTCATCGTTCACATTGTACCCCTTCTTCTTCTTGCTCAGCTTGCCTCCCATCTTCAAGTTCTTAGTGATATCGTACATTATGATTCCACTGTGTGGTCACGTCTCTCTGCACTGTCTGAAAGTTACTTTTAAATCATGTTGTCAGGAGGACCATGTTTCCTCTAAAGACTGTAGAAGAGAATTCATCCTTTCTTTTTCCAGCTTCTGATGTTTGTCAGCAACCCTTGATATTCCTTTGCTCATAGATGCACCACCCCATCTCCTATTCATCTTATTGTACCTTAATATCTTCTTCCCTCTGTGTGTATGTGGTTTCCGTGTCCAAATTTCTTCTATTTTTATAAGAACACTAGTTACATTGGGATAGTGTCCAAACTAATCATCTCATTTCAACTCAATTATTTCTGTAAAGATCCTATTTCTAAGTCAGGTCACATTCTGAGGTACTAGGTGCTAAGACTTTGTCATATCTTTTGGGAGGACACAACTCATAATTTCAGGAAAATGGAGTTGATAAATAAGGATTTACTGGTATCTCTCCTAGAGAATCAAAGAGAAAATCCTTCACTAGAGAATAAGAATATTCTAGTAGTTTGGCAAGAGTATCTGTACAAAGAGGGACCCCCTCACCAGGCTACCCTTGCTTGCTAGAAGGAAGCACCTTTTAATTGAATCCAGTGTCTTTTCCCTGTTGCTGTAGTTTCCAGGCAAATAATGAATTACTTATTAGTGTTTTGATGTATTTCAAACCCAGGAAGAATATGTCCTGCCCAATTATCAAGGACTGCCAATTGTGACAGGAAACACAAGCCTTTTCTTAAATTGTGATATGAACTCTTAACATAAGATCTAACCTCTTGCCCTGGCTGGTGTGGATCAGTAGATTGAGTGCTGGCTTGTGAACCAAAGGGGCACTGGTTCGATTCCCGGTCAGGGCACAAGCCTGGATTATGGGCCAGGCCCCTCTTTGGGGGTGTGTGAGAGGCAACCACACATTGATGTTTCTCCTCCTCTTGTTCTCCCTCCTTTCCCTTCTCTGTAAAAAAAACAAAAAAACAAAAACTAACCTATTAACCAATTTTTAGTGCACAATTTCATAATTTTAACTGTAGGGGCAATGTTGTACAGCAGGTATTTAAAATTTATTCATTTCATATAATTGAAACTTCGTATGCATTGAAGAGCAATTCCTCATTTTTCCATTTCCCCAATCTTGGCAACCATTATTCGTGTTTCTCTATGTTTAACTGTTTTAGATATCTCATATAAGTGGAGTCATACAATATTTATCATTCTATGATAATATGCATAGGTTTATCCATGTTGTTCCAATATGGCCGGGCTTCATTTTTTGCCGGATTTAATTTTTTAAGGCTGAATAATATTCCATTGAATGTATATACCACATTTTCTTTACCCATTTATCCATTTTGGACATTTATGTTGTTTCCACATAACTGACTATTACAAATACTGCTGCAATTTATGAGGGAGTGCTAATCTGTTTGAGATCCTGATTTTAGTTATTTTGGATGTATCCCTAGCAGTGGCATTGCTGAGTCACATGGTAGTTCTATTTTTAATTTGAGGAAACTTCATATTATTTTTTATAGTGGCTGCACCATTTAAAAAACATTCATGCCAGCAGCATGCCAGGATCTCAGTTTTTCTATACCCTTTTTATACATGCCAACACACACACACACGTACATTGATAATAGCCATCCTACTAAGTGTGAAGTAATGCCTCATTTTTGTTTTGGTTTGCATCTCATGCACCCAGCTTTGATGGGTGATATTGAGCATCTTTTTATATATCTGTTATGGACCACACAGACATTGAATGTAGTAGTATTGTAAAGCATTGTATTGTAAAAATTGGTTTATATATTTGCCTTTAAAAATTGAAAGCTGATATGTGACTTATTTCTGTAAAAACTTTATTTTTAAGAGCTAAATTGATCATCAAGATCAGATTCATAGGACTGAGAAGATTCTAGATGAAGAATCCATTCTTGTTGCATTTTCTTGGATGGTGTGAAAGTTTTAATTCTACATGCATGACGTATATGTTATTTTGGTATTTACTACATACCAGGAAATGTATGAGGCATAAATAAGAGCTACCCCTCCTGCCTGTGCCCTCATGGAGCTAATAGAAGCAGAGAGTGAATAGAATTAGGTTTCTGCAGATTAACATCACTAATACAGGGTCTCTACCCCATTTTCATCTTGAGTATTTTAAGCTAATTGGAGTATTATAAGGGCCTTAGAAATCTTGCAGTATGAAGACATTTTAGAATACATCAGGCAATAATAAAGTATGTCTTCCTAGGTAAGCATGATGAAAAAATAATGCAATTAACAAAACAATGATACAGAGAATCAAACTATGGTTCCTATCCTTAAATAGCTTCTATTGCAGTAGGAAGATAACATCAAGAGCAATTTTAGGAGAAAAATGAGTTTACATAATCATCTATATTTATATAGTTAATAAACATGACAAACTGTTATATGATTAAAAAGACTTAAGAGGTATAATATTCAGGGGTGTGTTGTTTTATTCTGGATGGTTTGCATGACTACTATCTCCTCTTCAACTATAATTTCTTCAGAAGAATGGTCCCCAAACTTGGCATAATAACTATTGGAGTTTTCGCTTTACACTCTGTCATGGGGACGCAGGATGGTCTCTGGATCTGAGGGTCACTGTCCAGGGCCAGCTGAGGTGGGAGCGGGGCTCTGAATCCTGTAGAGCCCATCCTGGGTTTATCATGGATGTGAGGAATAAACATGACTTGTCACAAACACTTCTCTGTTTGCCAGGAGAGGAAAAGGGTACTTCCCTCTGGTGGAGAAGCCCCCTGAGCCCCTTCTTCCAAAGGCTTTTATTGAAAGGGTTATCAGTGGGGCTAGATAACAGGAATGTGTAGGTGCTGTCATTATATGATATGTTAATATTTACAGAGAATAGATGTTTTAAAGAAAACATGGCAGGAACACACTGGTTTACATGGGTCCACGAGGAGACTAGTAAACATGAGAGTGTAAACATGAGAACATCAAGGGGTTTAGGGTTAGGGTCTGTGAATAATGTAAATTTCTTTCCCAGTATGAGCTGGCTATCATAGCTATTGAGGGAGAAACAAAGTATGCTTTAAAGAATTTACATGTAGGCCTGATTTCCCCTGGGAACTGCCAGATCCAGTTCAGGACTGTCTCCAGCATTGTTTTGAGCCTGAGCCAGCTGCGGGGAGGGAGCCACCAAGAGACAAGGAGGCTTCTTTCAGATAGAATGAGGACCCTGGCCATATTCAAGCCAAGCTGAGCGGTGTGGGCCTTTGTGCCCTTTCTCTGTGTCCCCCAAGTCCTTGTTCTTCTGCCCATTTTGGTTGTGTCTGACTTAGGTTGTCCCTCTTCAAGGGATCTTACCTGTCATTGACTACCAACCATCACAGGGCTAAGCAGGGTGATACGAGGGAGGCTGGGGCTGCGCCCCTGCCAGGGGGAAAGATTTCATCTCCTCAGTGGCCTATTTTCCCAAGGCCTCCTTGATTATTTCCAGCCTTGAGGCCCTCTCACCTGTCAGCGGGGCCACAGTTCCTGAAACCAGACAGGGCATTTCCCAACACACTCTCTTATATTGAAAACATAGGAAGATCATAAAGGTTGTGATGTAAAAAAATGTGTAAGGAAGCTGAATCCTATATCTTGAGATAAACATTAAATACATGCAATTAAGCTAAATGACCTGGCCCTTTTAAATAACTTCATTTCTAAAAGACTTAGAATTTGGATATATTTTGGATGATGGGGAAAAATGATTCTAACAAATCAACATGCAATTTTACCTGAATTTAAAAAAGCCAAAATGCCTCGTAAATGATTTCAATTTTGTGTGTATTCTATAGCGGTCCTGTTAAACAAAAAAAAATTAGTTTTTACTGATATATTAGACAGGATTTCAGTCATTCTAGTAGGTTAAAACCTTGCAGAATCATGCATTGAACTATTTTACAATGTGTCTACTTCAACATAGGGTTATTAACAGTAACAGCTACTATATGGCTAGATCAGTTATATGACAATCTCAGAAGTTGCCTTCATCCCCACAATCAAATTCAGAATCTGCAATTGGACCTCATCATAATGTGTTGTGAAGCTGGTTTCTATTTGCTATTTTATGTGGTTTAAGGCCAAGTAACCTGTTACAAATTTTCACAAAAATATAAAATATTTTTCCTTTGAGTAACTATAGCACCTGCATAATCTGCTTGCCTGTCCATTCTTCTTTGTGTCATTTAAAACACGTGTCAATGATACCATGCTAAATGATATAAGTCAAGCAGAGAGAGACAAATATCATATGATCTCATGTATGTATGGAATCTAAAAAAGAAAAGAAAAGCAAAACAAAATTCATAAATACAGAGAATAGATTGGTGGGTGCTGGAGACTGGGGCAGGGGGCAGAGGCAGGTGGAGGTGGTCAGACAGGGCAGATTTATAGTCATAAATCCTGGAATTAATGTACAGCATGGTGATTTGAGTTAACAGTACTGTTTTGTATATTTGAAAGTTTCTAAGAGAGTAGGTTTTAAGTTTTTATCACAAAAAAAAATTGTAACTGTGTGGTGATGAATGTTAACTTACTTTGGTGATCATTTAGCAACATACAATTCAAACCATTCTATTGTACTTCTTAAACTAGTACAATCTTATGTCCATAATCTCAATAAAAGAAGGTGTGGCACAGGAGAGGAGAGGTGGGACCAAAAAGAATGACGATTGGACTGATAAGCAGTGGATGACATTTAGTTTGGAAGACAAAATAAAGTCCTCAGAAAATGGGTCTTCATTTCTGGCAACAGATAAGAACGAGTGTCCCAGATTCATGTCTTCTTCAAAACCTTTCAATTGGGGAGTTTTCACATTGTAAAATGTGTATTTTTATTTATGAGCTCCCACAAAAGTACTTTTTCATTAGTTCATTCTCTCTCTCCATTATTCACCCTCTTTAAATGTTTATTTCCATGTCTGTGAATAACA